TTCTTCTAATCATCATTTCCTTCTCTATTTTTATCTGTCCTAATGCCTGCTGTAGCTGTGCCTCTTGCAGGGCTGCCTGCTGGATGGCGACCTCCTTTGGGGTCAACACCGCGGGCTGGCTTGCCATTAAGCCAGTGGACCGACTCAGGGTCTGCGCGACCGTGGACCCGGCGGTACCTGAAGTACCGGCTTGGGAAGTCTGCTGCACAGACGTGCTCATGGCTGTGGTAGCCATGGCTGTTGTAGCACTGGCCTTGCTAGCTAATGCCCTGCTGGCCTCGACTGCTCTAGCTCTCCTCTGCTGCTGCCTCTCACGCTGCCGGCGGAACAGTTCCCTATCACCCTCCGGTCCTAAGGACACGTGAGTTATCGGCCCCCTAGCTGATCGCAAGATCCTGCGGTCGTCTTCTCCGGTGTCCCCTGTGTCGCTCATAGGCTACAACACGGTGCGCTGTCTGCACTAGATCATTCTAGATGCCTACCGCAGCATAGTGCACAGACCAACTAATTGATGGTGGCTACTTTTGGAACAKATCTCATTTGGGGTCAGCAGATGATTCAGACTCCTACAATTGAAACTATTTTTAGTATGACTAGTCCGCAAACAGAARCACCAGGAACAATCAAAAGTTCYAACTAATGGTGTCTGTCAGATGTCAATGGCAGTCCATCTAACTAATCAAAACATAAAAATAGAATCACTTGTGTGGATAGGACAGCATGGTATTYTCTCGAASTTGTCCCCTGGAATCAACCCCTCCCTCTAATCTACACTTGAGTATCTCTTGCCGYCAGCGTCCTGAGCAAYYGGGTAGCATGYGTGACTGAAGGTGTGCAATCCSGTCCCACCCCTGTGSCCCAGGTTATCGTCGAGCAAGGCAGCCACAACACTCTTATTTATCCTCGTACGCCGACGAGCCTTACACTCGGTYGATCTGGCTGATCAAGAGGCAATTTAACGTCCGCCCCCAAGTGACTCYAGGAATTATTTTACGTCGCAGTCGGACGACGATCACAGCCAGATTCAGAGSYGAGTCCCCAACCAGAAATGTTTATAGACGGTYTGGTAAGCGTCTCAAGAGGCTGCCACACCCGAGTTAACCTCTATCTGCGCAAGCAGCAGAACCAAAGACTTGCAGCGAAGCATGCGTGTACTACACCCAGTGGGTTGGCATGGTGACCGTGACCCAGTGCTTCGTCCAGGGCCCTTCAGAAAGCAACACCCTCTTCCCCCTGATGCTCCAGAGGAAGTATGCCGACTCTCAAGGTTGAGCGCACTCGACACCTCACGATGAGAGGACTCTCCAGTTGGATCACACAACCTCACGGTAAGAAGTGTTGGAGAGGGTAGATAAGGTTGGGAGTAACGTACCTCAATATTGCTGCCCCCAACCACAGAGATAATCTCACGAGATGACCCAATGGCAATTGCGATGACCAGTCACTGCATCGACACAACCAGCATTATCCGCCGTTCCACCTCAGCATCAATCGCACATTAGATAGTTCTCATCACACTGTCCAGACCACTTACACTTCACATAGCCTTCCTGGCAAACCCCTCACCCCCTGGGTCGCCTTCACACTYGTCTCCACCCTCCTCACTACACACCACTTACGGCCAAACTCGCCCACCAGACCGCATGTMTGTACCGCATAAGGCAGAAGACAAGCGCCAGATGAGCGCAATCGTACCACATCTCCGATACCAAATTGCAAGGAAGATGAGCATTAGCGAACTCCAGCAATCAAACARCATCATACATATGAGTCCAGATAGTCTTGACCTCGAACCAATAGCAGAAAGGCATCACGAGATTCACCAAATAAGAACACACCAATAGCTCGTAATTGACAATGCTGAAATAGTCTCTCATCATCATCAACGAAGAACAAGAGTTGATATCCTATTGGCGCYCGGCGCCCAGACTACATGTGGCAKATCCTATCTAGCCTAATACTACAATGCCGATGTTGAMAACAAYAGCTTCCCGAAGTACGAGCATACGGCGGACAATGCCGCACGCTTCCAGCACCAGGTATGTCTCTCGCCACACTCACAACCCCGATCCACACCACATAGATGCCACTAGCACCCAAGGACCACCCTGCGTCACACCCAGCTCACAGCGGTGCTGCTCGGCTATGGCTGCCCGCTCCTTCCTGCTCGCCCGTGAGAGCGTGAGTGCCAGCCAGCCAGCAAATAGCGCAGCATGCAGCCAGCACCCGAATGCCGAATGAGGAGGCAGGCCCTTCCCTATATCGAAGTGGCCTGCCTGCGTCCAGTCCAGGAAGCTTYCAGTAGGCCCYGGTAGGCACAGGCCCAGACCTCATACGCAGGCCCAGGGCCTGATGGTTGCATGTGCCCAACTGCCCTTGGCCTGCTCATGGCCTTTTCCACGCGTCTGGCCCAKGTCACCATTCAGATACATTCGCAAAATATGGCCTGGGCCTGGGCGCCTTCAACCAACTAGCACAGGGCAACTGTCTGAATTTCACCAGTTGCGGGGTACCCTTAAAATCGAGGCCCTGAGGGCTTGTCGCGCCTGCCTTCACTTAGGGCGGCCGACATGCTGCAAAAAGGGCCCCRAAGGGGCTGAGCGGGCGTAGTCTCRCATTCCCTCCTCCATATCTTCGTTAGTCCTCTKAGAAGATCAATCMTGAGCCATCTRGCGCTTTCCTTTCAATACATCCTTCTCATAGCGGGCAACGATTTGAGGAGCGGTCTGCATCRATTCCTCCCGAGTAAACCAGCGGTCCTCCTTCGGATCTGTGTGATGTCTGAAGTGGACACGAAATTGCAGCTTTGGCTTTGGAGGACGWCCCCTTCCCGGAGGCTTCTGAACTGGMATCTCCCTGTGGTCGWCGATATCATCGATGTCGACTTCTCCGTCCATGGTTGRGGGCAGCATTGATCGACGAGAGGGAAACTRKTYAGTTTCCTKGAACRCAGCGAGCTTAGAGGCGTGAAAGACTGGGTAAGTTCTGAGGTGACCAGGGATGCGGATGACWTAAGATGGACCATCARTATCTKTCCCTWCTACGTCTAAAACTTCCSAAGGTCCAAAGTACTSAGGCATGAGTTTGCGGGATATCCCSAAYTYCTGTCCCAATTCTGAAGACTTGACCCAGACTCTGTCCCCAACCTGAAATGYAGAAGGGCGGCRGTGTTTATTCTCAGATTCTATCATTGCTGCYTGCGCCTTCTGCATGTGCTCTACARCCTCYTGTATTTTCTGTTCGTAGCGATAAGCGAACTCCAAAGTGCCTGGTGCAACAGTTGGCTGGTTATCAGGAAGTAGGAAGTCTAAGGGCAGTCTAGGCCTAAAGGTAAGCTGTAGACTGTTAGGACTTACCCCGGTAGCGCTGTGYACAACGTTATTGTACAGAGTGGCGACAAGAGCAAGCTTCTCGTCCCAGTCCACCTGGTTGGGCTTAATGTAATGCCTCAACAGGTGTTGAACAGGGTTCATCTGTTCAGCCTGGCCGTTTGCTTCTGGATGGTTTCCAGAAGTCRTTTGCAGTTGAGTTCCCTGTTCAGCTGCAGCGGCCTTCCATARCTCGCTTGTAAATCTGACATCCCTGTCACTTACAATGGACTTAGGCAATCCAAAATCCCTCACCCAGTTCCTTTTGAACAGCCTGATTACATACTCGGTCTTCGCTGTTTCCGGCATGGCTATTAACCTAGCATACTTACTAAACCTATCCACGATGACGAAGATCTGCCTCATCCCACTCTTGCTGGTGACCAGCGTATCCATGAAGTCCATGGACAAGCTTTTACCCGGCCTTTCCGGAATCGGAAGGGGCTTGAGCAGCCCAAGAGTAGCCTGAGTACGGGGCTTGTCTCGTYGGCAAACTTGACAAGTTTCCACGTACAGCTTAGCATCTTTTAACATCGTGGGCCACCAGAACCTTTGCAGCAAATTGGCTGCGGTCTTCTTGTACCCAAAATGGCCGGTGGCGTCATGACACTCGCCTAAAAACAGACTACGCAAAGACTCTTTGTGAGGGACACACAAACGTTTATTCCCTTCCTTCTCGAGAAACAGTAAGCCATTGACCAACTCAAACTCGGCTGAAGTTTGTTTATCTTTCGCCTCGAGTCTGCGTATGATCTCAGACATAAAYTGGTCCTCTCGATAGGCTTCCACCAAGGATCGAGTGACATCATCCGTAAGGTTGTACTCAGTAATCAGCGCACCCGAGAAGTCAGGTCTACGCGACAAGGCATCAGCCACCTTGTTGTACTCACCCTTGATGTACTGAGGGTCAAAGTCATATTGTTCAATGACTTCTATCCARCGCTTCAATGCGTCAGAGAGTACAGGCTGAGTTCTCATCCATCTCAAGGTCTGATGATCAGTCCTTAGGATGAAGAACCTCCCAAGGAGATAGTGTCTCCAATGGGTCAGCGCCTTGAACACCGCATAGAGTTCTTTCTCATAGGTGGACTTGGCCAACTTCTGAGACGGCATTTTCTTGGACATGTACTCAATAGGCCTCAACTTTGGCCCCTCCTGCTGCGCAAGCACGACGCCAATGCCATATTGGCTAGCATCCGTGGTTACTATAAACGGCTTATAAGGACCAGGAAGTTTCAAGACTTCATAATGCGTTAGTGCATGCTTCAGATGTCTGAAAGCAGCCTCRCACTCATCTGTCCACTCCCACGGGGTATCAAGGCAGGTCAGATCAGTCAAAGGGGCAGCCACTATGCTATAGTTCTTTACAAAGGTCCGGTAGTAAACCTCGTTAGCACGGCAGGCAGCAAAAAACCCATGGGCGATAGACAGTTCCAGGGCAGTAGTTGTTTTGCTGTGCATGACCTGTTGGAGGCCGAAGAAGCCGATGCGCGTGACCCCACTCTTGGTGACGACCAAGAACAGGACTCCGATACAACTTGTTCTTCAGCCCATGAGTCCGACGCAAATTAAGAAGAAGAAAATTTTTCTGCCTTTAAAAAGACTGCCAGCACTAAGGAACCGAATCGGAGTGTCGGGAAAAAATATGTCCAACTTCCCAAAGGAGTCAAGATCCCGCCTAAACCGGAGGATGCGACTACCAAACCTTGGGTTGACCTCCAGATCACTGAGAATGACTGGCGGGGCAGACTCAAGAAAGGGGTTTGCCTGCATTGCCAAAAACCAAATCATAAGGTTCAGGACTGTTATAGGCTGCATGGAAACCAGAATCGGGCGTAGAGTCAGTTTCAACAAACTCTACAGCAGGGGAGTCAGGTTCTGATGAAAATCAGCAGCCCTCCCTTGAAGCCCAACCATCTGCTGAAGACAAGGCTGAGGTAAGTAATGTCTTGTACGTTGAGCCTTGGGAGGAGTCTGAGATGGTTGACTTCCACTACCACTTGGAGCATTGGGCTGAGATGAAACAGCAGCGTGCCAAGGGACAGTGAAGTCGATCTTCTTCAAAAATTTTCATCAACCACCGCTATCTCCGTGTGTAGGTTGAATGTGGTGCTACAACTAATTTCATGTCACCACATGGGATACGCAAGGTGGGCTTGGGGATGAAGCAAGTGGCCCTGCAGAACCCTTGTCGGACCAAAGTTGGCAACAAGGAAGTTGTTTCTTCTACACATGCAGTCAAAGGTGTGCGCACTACCTTTGACAGAGGTAAGACTGTCACCCACGCACTGAACTTCTTTGTCCTTGACAAGTGCCCCTTCGACGCTGTTCTTGGCTTGGGCTGGCTGCAGTCCCAATGCGAATGGACCAAGTGGAAGGAATCACTCTTGTTCTTGGCTTGGGCTGGCTGCAGTCCCAATGCGAATGGACCAAGTGGAAGGAATCACTCTTCATGGTCAAAGATGCTCAGGGGAACGAGCTTCCTGTCCTCTTGGATGAGAAGCACGAATCCCCAGTGACTTTTCTAAATGCATTGAAGTTCTGCAAGAAGTGGCGCAAGCACAAAGAGGAAGAACAGTTGTATGTTGCCTTTGTTCGTCCTGCTCAGGTGCCTTCTACTTTTGCGGCTAATACCACTACTACTTTGATTGATGATCCTACTTCTGGTACTTCTACTACTAGCACCTCTCTCTCTCTATCCTCTAATAGTCCAATTGATCCTTCTTCAGATTCGGTTGTCTCTATACTCGACTTGCGACCGGACCTTGGTGATCCCTTTGCTGATTCCCCACCCCCACCTGTCCCATCAGACATCCAAACCCTCCTCGATCGGTTTCCAGAAGTCTTGGTCGAGTCACGTGGAGTCCCCACGTGACCGGTTCGACACACCATCAAGTTGGTCGAGGGTGTTGTTCCTCCAAAGGGCTGCGTGTACCATATGGGACCCGGTGGAGTTGGAGGAACTCCGGCAACAGATCGATGAGATGATTGACAAAGGGTGGATCAAACCAAGTGAATCTGAATTTGGTGCTCCTGTGTTGTTCGTGCCAAAGAAAGGAGGCAAACCCCGCATGTGTATCGACTATCGCGGTCTAAACCGCATCACGAGAAAGAATGCTTATCCATTGCCTCGCATAGACGACTTGTTTGATGCTGCAGGCGGGTGCAAGGTCTTCTCCAAGATCGATCTCAAGTCTGGCGACAACCAGATTGAAGTTGATCCTGCGGACCAGCACAAGACTGCGTTCAAGACAGGCGACGGGCTTTATGAGTTCACCGTAATGCCCTTCGGTCTTACGAACGCACCAGCCACTTTCGAAAGCCTCATGGACAAGGTCCTCCGCGAACAGATTGGCCGGTTTGTGGTAGTGTACCTTGATGACATTCTAATCTTCAGCAAGTCTATGGAGGAACACCTCAAGCATCTTGAGGAGGTGCTCGCTATCCTCAAGAAGACGCAGCTCCATCTCAACTTAGAGAAATCTAAGTTTGGGAAGGATAGCGTCATCTATCTTGGGCACCGGTTGTCTGTTGCAGGCCTAGAGCCTGAGTCAACCAAGATTGAGGTCATACGTGATTGGCCTCAACCTGCGAACATTCGCGAATTGCGTTGTTTCCTTGGTCTCGCGTCGTATTATCGGAAGTTTGTACCCCGTTTTTCTATCATTGCTCGTCCGTTGTCGCGACTAACCAGTAAAAATGTGTCTTATTCCTAGGATGCCGCGTGTACGGAAGCTTTTCAAGCTCTCAAGGAAGCCTTGGTAAGTTACCCGGTACTCCGCATTGCAGATCCCAAACTGACCTTCGTGGTTACTACGGATGCAAGTCAGTATGGAATCGGTGCAGTGCTGCAGCAAGATGACGGCGATGGCCTGCGGCCACTCGAGTACTACAACAAACGAATGCCCAGCGTAAAGGTAGCCACTTCCACCTACATGCGCGAGCTCTACGCTTTGTGTATGGCGTTGGATCACTGGAAACATTACCTTTTGGGACGCCACTTCAAAGTCTTCTCAGACCATGAGACCTTGAAGTGGAGCAAACAACAGACTACTCTGTCCCCTACCTTGCTTCGCTGGTTCCATGAGATTGACATTTTTTATTTTGAATTAAGACACAAAAAGGGTTGTTATAATCGAGTCGCTGACGCACTGTCTCGCCACCCTGAGTACATGACTTGCCTGGTGAAATCCTACGACCTCCGGAAGAAACTGAAGGAGGAGCTCGTAGAGCAGACAGCCAAGGATCCGGAGCTTAGCTCCATCCTTGAACAACTGCGGGCTGATCCTAGTAGTCAACCTGATTTCCACGAGTATGGAGGACTGATTTTTCGTCGTTACGGGAACCATGACCGTTTGTGTGTGCCCAACAATGAGCCTCTCCGCACACACTTTCTGGACTTGGCTCATGGCCGGAGTGGGCACTTCGGCATGGCAAAAACGTACGCTAACCTGCTGAGACAGTTTGAGTGGCCTGACATGAAAGGGACTACTGAGAAATTTGTGGCTGAATGTCAAAGTCTGTCAACGAATCAAACCTTGCAGACAAAAGCCCATGGGGCTACTCACACGCCTACCCATTCCTGATGGTCCCAGGGAGTCTATCTCCATCGACTTCACTGACATGGGTAAGGTAAGCAAGAACGGGTATTCACAAGTCATGGTGATTGTTGACCGATTCTCAAAATTTCTCAATCTGATTCCTTTGCCGCCTCACGCCCCAACAGATCTAGTGATTCGCGAATTCCAACAGAAATACCTGCTGCAATTCGGAACCCTGAAGACTCTTGTGAGCGATCGGGATCCGCGTTTCATTAGCACTGAATGGAAGGATTTCACGTCCCACCTAGGAATCAAACTGTGCATGACATTTGGCCGACACCCCGAAGCCAACGGTTTGGCTGAGGAGATCAACCAGACTATATTCCAACTTCTCTGTGCGTTGATCATTCCGGATCAGGAGACATGGGATGAAGAGCTGTATTCTGTCAAGGGGTTGTATAACAACTCTGTCCATTCTGCAACCGCCATGACACCCAACAGGTTGCACTACGGTTGGCAGATCCGTAATCCGCTCTCCTAATTCCCTGAGCAGTCAGCTGGCTTAACACCCGGCAGGCCCGGCTTAAGGGCTAAGTATGATCGCTTGCTCAAAGTTGTTGTGGCAGCTATGACCAAGCGACAACATGCCATGATCCACCATGCAAACAAAAAGCGCCGACCATCGGAGATTCAGGTAGGAAGATGTCTGAATTCTCAGAGGAGGAGGGAGTCTCACACAAACTCCTCCCACTCTACTACGGGCCTTGGGAAGTTTTGGATGTAATTGGGGAAGATCACTTCGGCCCTTCGTACGTTGTAGATGTGCCAGCTCACCTGCGCACATATCCTGTGTTCCATGCATCTAAACTGTACCTCCATCGTGATGCCGAGACATTCAATTACCGCGAAGATATGATCCCTCGCGCAATCAAGGGCGGGCATGAGATAGACAAAATTAAACAGCATGTAGGTAAGGGGAGAAACAGGCAGTACCAGGTTCATTTCATGTATCACCCGTTAGACGATCTCTACTGGATCTCCAAACAGGAACTACCACGCAGCGCACCGTGCGTTGTTAAAGCTTACCAGCGACAGATCGTCGCTAACGCCACACCGAAGATCTCAGCAAGGCTCTCTGCAACAGAGTATTCCAGGAATCTCTTTGCCTTGCTCGCCTACGATGCGTTTGCCGAGGACTCAGAATGAGTTACTCGCTCGAAGGGACCTCGCTCTTGAGGGGGGGGGTAGTGTGATAACCCGTCCAAACACGGACTGAAACACACAGCTGATTTCTGAGTTTTGCTCATAGACTGAATGCCTTACTGAGTTCCCCGCCTGCTAAGTCTGTGTGTGTGTGCTTGCTGGACTGCATGTCTATCTGAGTGTTGGTTGGCTTGCGTGTGTGACTGTGCCTATCTGAGCGCTGGTTGGTATGAGTGTGTGTGTGTGTGGCCCGCCAGGGCACTTGTTCGTTCGTTGGGCCCTCAGGGCCGGTACTTACCTGTGGCCTTGGCTTCGAAGGGTTGCAGCGGGGAAAAAGCACTCGAGTAGCGGGTAGGCCGGTGCCGCACCCGACAGGGGGGTAAATATGCAGGTACCGGAGGCCGAGCAGAAGAAGACAAAAGTGGCATTTTTAGAGGCCGGTAGTGTAGGCTAGGTCTAGTGGGTACCAGTCTGAGTCTAGGGCCTGTAGGGGCAATATCAGAGTCTGCAATGATGTTCCCTCCAAAAGAGGAGGAGGTACCGGTTGCTTGGGAAGGCCAGCGGCCTGGAAGTCACCGCCCAAGAGGCAAAGCAGGCCGCTATATCTTCCGGCCGGGSGGAAGASCCGGCCTCTTTTTCGGTGTGCAAGTTTGGCGACACACTAGTGGAGCGCTGGAGGGAGCAGCGCTGGGTTGGAGCTGCGCTGCTGGGGAGGAAGAAGAAGGACTAGAGGGAGGAAGGAGGAGGAAGGAAGGAGGAAGGGGGAGGAGCGCCAGGGGTACTTACCTGGCTATGGTGGCAGCCATCTTCATCACCTTGGTGGGCGCTGCTGCAAGGAGTCCCCAGCCGGGGGAAGCTACACCAAGAAGCTTCAAGGCAGGGTTGGGCATGGCAGCCTGAGCTGGAGCAGCCATAGCTGCTCTGCGTTGTCCTTTGGACATCGGAGCAAGGCCTAGTAGTCCGCCATAGCCTCGGCCTATGTGTGTGAAGAGTGGGGGGAGGCGGCCATGGCTATGGTGGACCTTGAGTGATACCTGCAGTAGAAAAGGGACTCGAGCATGATTCTGGACCAGTCATTCAACATTGTATTATTATTTCTTGTATGAATAAGAGAAGGGGGAGATAAGGAGGCGGAGATTGTTGGGCGAAGAAGAAGAGCCTTGTCATTGTCTTTGCTGGTATACATCTTCTTCTTCTTTTTTCTTACTTCTTCTTCTTCTTCTACTCCTCTCTCTCCTCTCAAGTTCATTCATTTCTTTCTGCAATTGGATGGCATTGTACTTTCCAGTGGATGTGTATCTCGAAATTGACCAGGGTCGTAACATGAATGTAAAGGCATACTCTTCCGACGCTATGGGAAACATGATCGATTGTGTGTACCCAACCATGAGCCGATCCTTACTTATTTCTTGGATTTGGCTCACGGCCGGAGTGGACACTTCGGTGTTGAGAAGACATACGGAAATCTGTTGGAAAAGTTTGTGTGGCCTGGAATGAAAAGAATGGCACAAAGGTTTGTGGCTGAGTGTGAAGTTTGCCAACGCATCAAACCGTCTCGGCAGAATGGGCTGCTACCCTCGCCCTATTCCTGATGGTCCGGGTGAGTCGGTTTCCATTGACTTCACGGACATGGGAAAGAAGAGCAGAAACAGTTATTCACAAGTAATGGTGATCGTCGATCGTTTTTCCAAATTTCCGAATTTAATCCCATTACCACCTCATGCCCCAACTGACCTTGTGTTCGAAGAATTTAACAAAAGGTACATTCTACATTATGGTCCCCCGAAGACTCTTGTGAGTGATCGGGATACCAGGTTCATAAGTGCAAATTGGAAAGACTTCACCTCCCAGACGGACGACATGAAACTCAAGGTGACATCTGGTCGACACCCCGAAGCCAATGGACTGGCCGAGGAGATCAACCAGACCGTAATCCAACTTCTCAGGGCTCTTATCGTGCCTGACCAGAACTCTTGGGATGAGGAGTTGCCGATTGTGCAGGGGTTGTACAACAACTCTGTCCACTCCTCCACCGGGATGACACCTAACCGGCTGCACCTCGGATGGAAAATCCGCAATCCTCTATCCTATCTATTCCCGGAACAGCCATTTGGCCTAACACTTGGCCAGCCAGGCTACAATGCTAAGTACGATCGTTTGCTTAAAGTCGCTGTCGCAGCTGTGGAAAGGCGCCGCAGTGCCATGATTAAGCATGCAAACAAAAAGCGCCAGCCTGAGCCCTTCACCGTGGGAAGTTATGTCTGGGTCAAGATGTCTGAGTTTTCTGAAGAAGAAGGCGTATCACGGAAACTTCTTCCTCAGTACTACGGTCCCTGGAAGGTGCTGAACGAGTAGGTAATGATTCCTTCGGTCCTTCCTACACGATTGATGTGCCTGCTCATTTGCGCACATACCTAGTCTTTCACGCATCAAAGTTATTTCCGTATGAGCCACCTGAGACGTTCAAGTACCGAGAAACGATGACTCCCCGCGCAATCAATGGCGGTCACAAGGTTGATAGAATCGTCGAGCACAGTGGAAAAGGGAGAAACAGACAGTATAAAGTGCATTTTCTGTATCACCCACTGAATGACTTCTATTGGATCGCTAAGAAGGACTTACTGGGGGTCGTTAACGCCTATGAACGATTGATAAACTCTGACCAGCAACCAAAATTCACTGCTACCCTAACTCCTACGGAACACACCCGATCTCTTTTTGCTATCTACGCCTACGATGCATTATGCAAGGACTCTGATTGAGTTACTCGCTCGAAGGGACCTCGCTCTTGAGGGGGGGGTAGTGTAATGACCAGTCATAACATAGACTGAGAACACTGCTGATTTCTGAAGTTCTGCTGATGGAATGGATGCCTTGCTGAGATTCCCGCATTCTGCTGTG